ATCCAGCAGGGCTCTTCTGATGTTCTAGGGAAGGCCTCGGCCTCTCTGCCCTGTTGTTGGCCATCTAGAGGAACTGGTTGGCCACTGTGTGAGACGGGATGCTGGACTGAATGGACTATTGGTCTGATCCAGCAGGGCTCTTCTGATGTTCTAGGGAAGGCCTCGGCCTCTCTGCCCTGTTGTTGACCATCTAGAGGAACTGGTTGGCCACTGTGTGAGACAGGATGCTGGACTGGATGGACTGCTGGTCTGAGCCAGCACGGCTCTTCTGATATGGCCACTGTGTGAGACGGGATGCTGGACTGGATGGACTATTGGTCTGATCCAGCAGGGCTCTTCTGATGTTCTAGGGAAGGCCTCGGCCTCTCTGCCCTGTTCCTGGCCATCCAGAGGAGCTGGCTGGCCTCTGTGTGAGGCAGGATGCTGGACTAGATGGGCCACTGGTCTGATCCAGCAGGGCTCTTCTTAGGTTCTTATGGATTTGAATCCTACTGCAACACTCTCACAGTGCCGGCTCTCATTTCATCTAAGTTCCTGAATACCTTCCTAAGTTCTTTTCAAAAGTGTCTGGAAGCTAACGCTAGAATCAGACTGGAACTCAGCAGGAGGGAAACCTTCCAATTCCCTTCCCTTTTTTGTTCCAGGAAAGCTGACTTGGATCGGGTACCCCATTCATGTCACAGGTGACACTGCCGTTATGTATAAAATGACTTACCTGGCTTGGGGGCATTTCAGTCACAGGGTGTATTGTGTATTGGTCCAAGGCTTCCCAAACGCTGCACCATTACAGGCTACATTATGTAACTTGTATAAATCAAGCCAACTGATCTATACCCCTGTTTTGCACAATTTATTCTACATTTTAGCATTTGCATTTTTTAGTCTGCTCCTGCTCACTATAGGAAGGGTCAACAGTCGATGAGGCCTCTTCCTTCTTGGTAGCCGCTCCTTTCCTTTCTGAGATTTGTTCAAGCATAGTTTTAACCAATCAGAAGCTCTCTCTCCTTAAAACAAATAATAAAAGTCGCGATTACCAGGAGGTATTGTCTGAGCGTGCTCAGAATGTTGTGGCATACACACAAGAGGATTTGCTCTTGTTGTGGGAGAGAAGGGGAATGCCTCTTCTAATATGGTACTGGAAGAGGGATTCCCTCTTGTGTGAAAGAGAAGGGGAGTGCCTCTTCTAAGTTGGTACTGGAAGAGGGATTCCCTCTTGCGTGAAAGAGAAGGGGAGTGCCTATTCTAAGATGGTACTGGAAGATGGATTCCCTCTTGTGTGAAAGAGAAAGGGAGTGCCTCTTCTAAGATGGTACTGGAAGAGGGAATCCCTCTTGTGTGAAAGAGAAGGGGAGTGCCTTTTCTAAGATGGTACTGGCAGAGGGAATCCCTCTTGTGTGAAAGAGAAGGGGAGTGCCTTTTCTAAGATGGTACTGGAAGAGGGATTCCCTCTTGCGTGAAAGAGAAGGGGAGTGCCTCTTCTAAGATGGTACTGGAAGAGGGATTCCCTCTTGCGTGAAAGAGAAGGGGAGTGCCTCTTCTAAGATGGTACTGGAAGAGGGAATCCCTCTTGTGTGAAAGAGAAAGGGAGTGCCTCTTCTAAGATGGTACTGGAAGAGGGAATCCCTTTTGTGTGAAAGAGAAGGGGAGTGCCTTTTCTAAGATGGTACTGGAAGAGGGAATCCCTCTTGTGTGAAAGAGAAGGG